TCCAACGCTAGAGTTTGTGGTCTATATATATATATATCATATACATACACAGGTAAAGGATTTTATTTCTTACGAAGCATAACATAAGGAACCACATAAGCTATCAAACGTATTTTTCAAGCTTAAATTCCAGTAAAGCACGAATTTTTTCACTTTGTTTTGGCAACACTGTGCGCTGGCCAGTATAAGAGTGTCTATTTTTATCGAATTCTTTGATTATCTCAAAACAACTGCCGACTCTGATAACCTTTCTAATATCGCACTCGCATCTGTCACATATGCTGACACACTCATTCTCATTGAGTGACGTTAACTCTGCACGGCTTTCAACTTCATGATTAGATTCATGTGGATAATATTTTAAAAATGACATGATTGGTTTGTGATGACTAAAGTAATAATTATAAACCTTTGGTTCTAATGTAGAATAATGAACATCCTGTAGTACCACTTTATCTTTAATTCGGATTCGAACAACGGCCAGGGTGGGAGTAAGGCAAAGCTTGCCTTTAGGCAAAGCATAGGCTAGCCTCGCGTGCTTAGAAAAACCACCGCCTTATGTAAATTTACGTAAGCTATTGGCGCTGTCAGCGTTATTCGGATACCAAAAGGATAGCATAACCTGCCACTGAATGTAGCTTGAAAACCACTTATTTCATGAATGAAAATTTTTTGAAAGAATAAGACACAATAAAAGTGTAATAATTTATCTGTAAAATCTTGTATCAATAAACTAATAATAAAAAAAAAATGAAAACTATGAAGTTTTGAAAAAATTTTTAGTAAAGAATTACTTTTAAATAATGCCAAATTTACAAGTCAAATTTAAACAAACATTTACAAACATTGGATAGCTGTTGCTAAGAAATGGTTCGAACAGTTAAAAAAAATGATTTAATCCAATGAACGATTTAGTAGCAAACGTAATTTATAATGAAAGCATTTCGATTTTACGAATAGTGAATAAATATTAACATGAAAAGTAATTTACAAACTACAGTATTGGCTAAGTGCAAGTGATGGGAGGGGATATGTGAGTCGACGCTAGCGTATGTAGTGACAAAACAGGAAACCTGGGGTCCTTAACTACTGACATTTCTGCTTAATTAAGGAAAGAATAACAGTATTTTGTTTGAGAGCACACACTCAGAACCAGACAGGAAGTATTTAAATGTTTGTGAAATATAGGTGTAAGAAAATGCTGTGTTGTTGAGAGTAATAGTAGCACAAAGACAGATGGAATACGATTACATAAATTTCCTGTTGGTGAGTTCAAGCAGGAGCAGAGAGAGCTGTGGATTTAGCTGTCAATTGACAAAAGTGCGTAAAACATTTAGGTTATCTGTGCTTCCTTTTTATTTAAGTTGTCACTTTGAAATTTAATATTTTCAGTTCTGATGGTAGCCTATGGCATCCTAGAAAAAACGACAGAATATGCAGTCAACATTTCATAGGCAATTTTATCTCAAGCAATCAGTTTAGCCCCAGCTATGTACCAACTATTTTCCCTGCTGTATATATACAAAAAAAAAAAAATTAACGCAGCGAATGCTGTTCAAAGGTAATTATTATGTGTGGCTTAATTAATTGAATTCTACGTGCATACATACTCATGAAATTTGCTGAAGTGTAATTCCAACGTATTTTAGATTTTATTATTTTCTTTAAACAAGGCTCTACGTATGATTGTGATCGAATTTCACGTACAGGTAAGTTCGTTTGACCATGCAATTACGTTTAACAGATTTGCTAATTTAATTATACAACTAGCAATTATTGAACTGAAAAATTGTGTTAGTTCCTATTTCACCTTATTTTTCCAATGTTTCCGAATTACTTTTTCTTACTTTATTTCTTTACATTCAATTTTTTTCCATCACATGTATAACTTGTAACGGTATTGGATACCAGACACTTTTTCTGTTCTGGAACATTTTTTGTCACGAAACCTGAGCATGTGACTGAACCATGAAAAGCAATGTCTAAAAAAAGGATCTTTCCTCATACATTTTTCCAAGACTAATTTTTTGCTTTGCTTTCGTTAGTTAGAATATTGTAAAAAATCGTATAATACTACCATTTTCGAATATGTTATTGTTTCTTTAATATGATTAAGGTGGCTTAGGCAATTTTTACTGGAATGATAATAATCTCTGAAATTTTGAAATTATGTAAGTAAAGTGTGCTTAACTAATAGAGAACTTGCATATTCTCCGATTTAATTTTATTATAATGGCTGAAAATGACCCGAGTAAACTTGCCAGAAAAACCCGAAAAACTTACGATCAACGTAGGAAAAAAACTATCTTGTCAATTTGAATGTAACCATAAAAAATATAGATATTAAGTTGTACAACAAAAAGCTATTTGTGAAATTGCAAAATAATAATTATTTTTTTGTTAATTAATTTTCTAAAGTGAAACTTTGAAGTATTATTACAAACTTTACTGATAGTTTATTGACATTTCGCTTCGGTAAGAAAGTTGTACTTGATATGATTAATAATAACAAGAAAAAAAATTGATTGCAAAATTGCGAAAAAATTTGTGTATCATCTTCATGTATATCTGCATCATACTGACAGAGTACTTTATCAATTTTAATGAAAGGAAAGCTAAAAAAAAAAATTAAGAAAGTCGCATTGAAACAACTGGCGTCAGCTCAGCGCTCCCATCAGTACCCCTCTCTTGCGACTAGGTGACCGACCGGTCGCAGTTCGCATGGGGCAAAACACGGGCTGCTGCGGCTGGCGTTTGAATTTAAATAATTTGTTGTACAGTTAAAAACACAGTATATTGTATTCAACTAATTGATTGTTGAATTTACGATTGGGGAAAAAGACGTATGCAACAATGCATCCCAAAATACCTTTGACCGCTGACGAAGGACCGGACAGAATGGACGAAGAAATTTATTCGAATCCAACGCTAGAGTTTGTGGTCGATGACGACTGTATGTATGCAATTATAGATGGTGCAACAGATGGTGAGACAGATGATAGTTATTGTGGAAATAAATCATCAAAAAAAGCTAAATTTCAATGTATCAAAAAAAATCTTACATTTAATGTATACAAAAATTTGAATAAATAAATTTTTTTACACTCTGTTTTTGTGTTAAATTTGTTAATTAAACATATTTTATTTATAATACTATGTTTTTAATCTTATAGTTATGTACAACAACTTATTTAAATTAAAACTCCAGCCACAGCCCGTATTTTGCCTCATGTGAACTGCAACCGGTCGGTCACCTAGTCGCAAGAGAGGGGTACTGATGGGAGCGCTGAGCTGACGCTAGTTGTTACAATGCGACTTTCTTAATTTTTTTTTTTAGCTTTCCTTTCATTAAAATTGATAAAGTGCTCTGGAAGTATGATGCAGATATACATACAGATGATACACAAATTTTTTTGCAAAAAAAAAACGTAATTAGTCCGTTATTGCAAAAAACGTCAATTTCTTACATCTCAGCTTCAGAGTAAGCTAGAGCATTCTTTTTCTTTTTTAATTTGTATTTTTTTAAGACAAATACAATGCCGTTCATTTTAAATAAAATTATGCAAAATTGACTGAGATATTTGCAATTGTTTAAGTTGCAAAGTACAATTTTTCGTTAAAAAATGTCAAAATTGACAAAAATCAATTTTTTTTTGTTATTGTTAATTATTTCAAATACAATGTTTTCACCGAAGCAAAATGTCGATAAACCATCAGTGCAGTTTGTAATAATACTTCGAAGTTTCACTTCAGAAAATTATTCAACAAATAAATAATAATTACTTTGCAATTTTACAAATAGCTTTTTGTTGTACAACGTAATATTTATATTTTTTTTTTTGGTTACATTCAAATTGACAAGATAGTTTTTTTCCTACGTCGATCGAAAGTTTTTCGGTATAAAAATTTTTTGTCGCACTTTCCCGCCCTTAACGTGTTATTAAAAATAAATAATACATTTGCAAAAGTATCCATTTCGTAAAAAATTTAATGACAAAGAGATTGGTGGTAAAAAATTTCTCTAAGAGCAATAGAAGCGGAGATACAAACAAAAAATTAAATACAAAATTGGCATTTTTTCATAAATTATTAAATAAATAAAGGAAGCCGACGGTTGATTTGGACAAAACTATTTTTCCCGTATTCCTGGGAAAATTCTGAAAGGGGATTACCAGTTTTTTCTCTACTGGAAAACATAAGATTAAAAAATCCTTCAGGCCATGGACTAATAACTAGACCAGAACTGCGCATGCGCTAGTGCATTTACTTATAAAAATTCGTCGTTATACGAAAAGAGAAGGGTGTACAGTCAGCTCGGATCTCGATGCACCAAACTTTTAACGCGTATTGTACTACTACAACCCCCTAATAGGGCCCAACTGTTGGTACGGCACCAAACGCCTAAGCCACTTGAAATTTCTTAACTACGTTACCGTGAAAGTAAGTATTTTACAATAAAATTTATATACAATCTGTCAAACATGGTTCTTTGCAAATTTTTTATAGACATAAGAAGTTGAACACTGCACACTGAGTGTTAAGAAAATGTATAAATTCCCAGTGTGAGGATAAATCTTGTAAAGTTAATCCAAGTGAATTATTTTAAATATACCTTACCGATTATGTAATACATACCATGGTGTACCATAAATTTTTATGCCAGAAATAATTATTTCCGAATCTTCTAAGTACGTGCAATTAGTTAAATGAGCTTTTACATCATTTGTTTGTATAGCTTCATTTAAGACATCTTTGGACATTCCTAAAGTTGGTATGCTATCAAATACACTAGTTCCTGTGGTTTTGTGAAGATCCATACTGCCTTGAATAATGGTTGGTCGTGTAAAAGTAGGATCGAAACTGAGTTCATGATTTCCTGCAATGACTACTTTGTGTTTGTGAGGAAGTTTACCTAAAAATATCAATGTTCACTTGAATTGAAATGTTCGTATGAATGAAATTTTTCATTCATCCCGAAGATTATTTGTTCTAAGATTTCAGCTCAGGTTACAATGATGCTAATAGTTAATTAAAAAATTACTTAGAATGTATTACATCTTCTGGGTGATTTTCAAGAATTGACTAAAATTGACTAGTACAAAATACTGTACATCGTTTTAGATATTTGTTGTGGATGGTATTTGAGGTACAACTACTATGAAAAGTAATTTTTTCGACTAACTTTTTTGAACAATTCTTCAAGACGGTATACAAGAATATTAGAAATTAATCTAATTTTATCGATGGGTAAGTAATAATGCGAGTAATTGAATTGATTGACATTTCCCATTCATTACGAAATAGCCAAGGCAACTCGATTTTTTCAGTTCAAACTACGATTTGTAGAAAAATTGTCATACGTAGGAATTGAAAAAAAGTGCCACGTTGACCAGGATTTGAACCTGGAACTGTTTTCGTTGCCTTGGCAATTGCGTAGCGGATGGGAAATGTCGATAAATTCAATGACTCGCATCAATTCTTCTAGACATTTAGAGCCACTTACAGCACAATCACCCATATGTGTATGGGTGATTCCGCCGTAACTGGCTCAAATCGTGTCCAGAGTTCGTACGACGTTTTGAAGCTAAAATTAATTATGATTACAGTGCTAAGACATGTTAAATGTTATGAATTCTCGATTACTTACAGATGTAACCGATTTATTGTCTCTTTAACGAAGAAAATTGCAAAAATCACCTCAAAATGTCAGTTCCGACTCCTGTCTAAAACTCAACTTTAAAAAAAAAAAAAAAAACTTGCATACCAAAATAAAGCTTTTTTCCGGAACTTTTGCACCTACATTATAAACTGTAGGTATCATAGATTATATTTATACTGAAATTACTCATGCTTTTAGCAAATAAGTAAGAACGTATAATTCATTATTTTTGTCCCTCGATTTACATGAATATTAGGATCAGCATAGAAATAGCTTTGGAAAACACTTAATTTAGTTCTGCAACGCTCCCTCACGCTCACTTTTCGAATTACATACTGGCACTAAAAAATTGCACTGGCCAATGCCGCTAAAAATTAAAATCGCCGGGACTGGCAAGTGAATCATTTCTCGTTTTTCGTGTGTAATACTTTGGTCAGTTTCGACCCTCCCCTAAAGCACCCACTAGGTTTACTTGAACAGGTACGTAAACTGTACTTTCTAATACTATTTGGCGATGACAGATACTGTATTAGCGGAAAAGTCAGTGTGTCTCGTTCGCGGACAATCCGAGAGCCTTAAAGCTCGAAATGTCAGTTCCGAACCCCTGAAATTGATAATGAATTGTAGTTAAGTTTCTATACATTTTTAGGTCTTGATTCATTAGAAATTCAACTCATCATCATTGAATATTTATTATTTACTTAATTTTGAGACTTTTCTATGTGTGGCTCGGTAACAGTGTTCAAAGAAGAACCAAAAATCAGGATGATGATACATTGGAAAATTTAAATAAAATAGTCAGTGATTTGAATGCATTGAATTTGAGGTAGAGTAGCAGAGTACCCAAAGTCACTAAAATCGAAGCTGACTATATTTATTGAGTAAATAAATTCTACAATTCATGTTAATACAATAATTTTGTCAACATAACCTCTCTTTTTAACGGCTCAGCGTTAACGAAATTTTTTTTAGTTTTAGTGGCTAAATATCTTTGCAATGTTATAGCGTAATCACGTAAAATAGTTTTGTTATGAACAAGACGCCTATTACCTTGTTTAAAACAATTTATATCAATATTCAGTTAACGTCAGTTTGAACTGAATCACCCACCATAGGTTTGGCTTACCTTAATACATTCAGGCACCCTAAAAAAAATAAAAACAGATTTGTCCCCGTAAGGCCTATGTTAATTTACCCCGACTCGGCTGTATATATCGCGAATGTCACTCGACGTGTTCTCTTGTGAAGAAAACTATATCGACAAACCACATAGTAGAACCATGTAAAATAACCACATAAAAACACGTGGTTTTACCACTCCGTTTTCCTGTGGTTTCGTGTGTCAAATCACCATGAGGTTTTTAAGTAAAACCATATGGTTTTTACAAGCTTTTCTTTATTGTTTATTAATAAAAGGAACTATTTCTACTTAAATTCAAGTATTAAAAAATCTTATAACGCATTAACAATTAATACGAAAATAAAACAAAAGAAAAAAAGCCTCTAAGGAGAATTAAACTTTGGCTTACAGATTCTTAGCCAAGTATCTTATCCATTGGGCTATAGTGGATTTGTTTCTAATTTTGTGTCCTTATCAGGTACAGAAGGCACAGTATTCTGTTATTTGTCCTTGTACATAACTAGTTATTTACATATAAACTACAGTAAAATCGTGTGAATTTGTGTATGCAATAAAATTAACTTGTTATTAATAATACGTGTCAAGATATTTGTTTCTAAGATAAAATAGCTATGGCAATTAAACCTTTAATTTAATTCGTTGATCATACATACTTAAATGATAAACTTTTCGTTCTTACATTATCCAATAATTAAATTGATATCTAATTAATAATTAATCAAAATAATAAATGTATTTTACTATTTAGTTGTGAATGAAAAAAATTT